CCAAGATTCAAAATAAGACTCACTTCTTGTGTTTTTATTGGGTCTTCATCCATGAAGGATGGCTATGGAAGCTGAGAGGTGTCAGTGCACTCAAAAACCCCCCTGCCGAAAACAAAACAAAACATTAATGTGGGTGTAGTTTTCAGGGGTCCGTTCTTCGTACCTCGCTTACTACATCCAAGATCAAATGACACATCCAAGATCAAATCATCGCGCTAACTCTGAGCTCGCTATTCCGGTTCTCCGAACACACCTGTTGTTGACGATTAGTATAGCTGGATGAAGTAATGTGAGATCACTGGGTGGCTTAACAGGGGCTACGCATCGATAGTAGAAACATTGATCGGCAACCCTTTGATTGGTCGGCGAAAATGTCGAAGGAGCGCGCTCGGTATTTTTCGGCAGCAGAGCAAGAACTCTTGATTGAGGGATTTCAGGAGTTTCAGAGTTTAATTAAAACGCAAGGGAACACTGCAAAGGCTGCAAAAGCAAGGAGAGAGGGCTGGCAGAAAGTTGCTGACAAATTAAACTCGTAAGTAATTTAATTAATAATAATAATAATGGATTGGATTTATATAGCGCTTTTCAAGGCACCCAAAGCGCTTTACAATGCCACTATTCATTCACTCTCACATTCACACACTGGTGGAGGCAAGCTACAGTTGTAGCCACAGCTGCCCTGGGGCAGACTGACAGAAGCGAGGCTGCCATATCGCGCCATCGGCCCCTCTGGCCAACACCAGTAGGCGGTAGGGTAAATTATATTATATCACATTATATCATATTATATTATATTATGACCGCAGACCACGGCCTCTCTGTGTGAGGATCTAAACGTATTCTACGCTAGATTCGACACAGCGAACACCATGAGACCGGACAGTGTGCGCACCGCGGATGACGTCAGTGCGCACACTGTGTCTGAGGAGGATGTGCGGAAGTGCTTCAGGAAGGTGAACGCGCGCAAAGCTACTGGTCCGGACGGGATTCCCGGCCGCGTCCTCAAGTCATGCGCGGCTCAGCTGGCTGGAGTGTTCACACACATCTTCAACCTTTCCCTCTCTCTGTCTGTAGTCCCAGCCTGCTTCAAAATGGCCACCATCGTCCCTGTACCCAAATCCTCCACCATCTCCTCATTGAACGACTGGCGACCTGTAGCCCTGACCCCCATCGTGAGCAAATGCTTCGAGAAGCTGGTCAGGGACTTCATCTGCTCTGCACTACCCGACTCACTGGACCCTCTACAGTTCGCATACCGCCACAACAGGTCCACTGATGATGCCATAGCCCTGACACTACACACTGCCCTGTCACACCTGGAGAAGAGAGACACGTATGTGAGAATGCTGTTTGTAGATTACAGCTCAGCATTCAATACCATCGTTCCCTCGAAGCTGGACAGGAAACTGCAGGATCTAGGACTGAGCAGCTCCCTCTGCAGCTGGATCCTTAGCTTCCTGTCTGACAGACGCCAAGTGGTCAGACTGGGCAGCATCACCTCATCCCCCATCACACTGAACACTGGTGCTCCACAGGGGTGTGTACTGAGCCCTCTCCTGTACTCACTCTACACCTACGACTGCACGGCCACTAACAACTCCAACATCATTGTGAAGTTTGCGGACGACACTACAGTGGTGGGTCTTATCACCAATGGTGATGAGACGGCTTACAGGGAGGAGGTCAGCGCCCTGACCCACTGGTGTCAAGACAACCATCTCACCCTCAACGTCGCAAAGACAAAGGAGTTGATAGTGGACTTCCGGAGGTGCAGAGAAGTACACACCCCCATCACCATCAACGGCGCTGCTGTGGAGAGAGTGAGCAGCTTCCGGTTCCTTGGAGTACATCTGGCTGAGGATCTTACGTGGTCAGTACACCAAACAAAGACAGTTTATTGCCATCATGTTGTCTGCAGGTAGAGCCTGAGATTGGTTCCTGATACAACCAAAACAACAACAAAAGACAACCCAACACATACAGAGAGAAAACAACAACAATAACAAAAAAGCAACTGAGGGGGTCTGGGCCAACAGGAAGAGGGCTACACCATGATGTCATCATATCCATATCCGTGTTTCGAGTTCTGAAGCGACAACACGCCGTAATGTCACAGATTCTGAGGTCATGATTAGAGCAGAGGTGCAGGGAATGGGCACAGCCTGTCAGTGAGGGGAGTTCTAGAATGTTCTGGAATTCTGCTGAGTCATGGCTGCCATGGCAACACCCCACCCCCTCCAAGTCCCTCCCCCATTCCACCTCAAAAAAACAACAAAACTAAACAAAGAAAAAGAATAATGACTAAAATCAGCTTTATGAAGTAAAACAAACTTTACTGTTTGATTCTAAGTTAACCCACAAACACACAAACAGACGCCCAACACACACACACTCAACATACACAAACACATACACTAACTCAACGGTTTGCGTGAGGGCAACAAAACTCCCTTTAGCAGCATCCACAATAACCAAATATTAATGACACGTATAACTTTAGGATAATTATATTAATAAGTGATGATGACTGATGACATCATAAACCAAAGGTCAAACATGGAGGTTGGTTAAAATACGCAGTACATGATGTGATACACAAATGAAAAACAAACAGCCAATCGGAGGCCCAAGCTGGAAAAAAATCTAAAAAAATAAAAATAAAAATAATAATAATAATAATTAAAAAACAAAAAACTAATTTTCCCATCAGGCCCGGCAGTGGAAGCAGGTTTAGAGATTGTCCTGTGATTGGTCAATTCCAGAGATTCTGCTGACATCATGCTTCTCAGGCCAACTGCAATCACTTTCATTTTCATCATAATTATCGTCATCGTCATGGCACTGACTCCCTCTTGCAGCAGGAAGGAGCGCTGCCATTGGTTGATTCTAACCTTTTTATGAAAAAAGCCTTAAAAGCCACAGAGCTCATAGTTGCTCCACTTGTTAACTCCCAGAATCCTCTGCTTTGAGTGGGTGGAGTGTGCGCAGTATCGCCAACTCTCCCAGCCCCTCTTGGCAGTAAACTTGTCTTCATTAATTCAGTGCGAATAAAACGCACATAAAACGCTGCGTTCGCTGTGACGTAGGAAGCTGGAAATTTGTTTCCTATCTTAAAGATGTGAAGTGAACACAACACCAGCAAAAATATGTGTGTGTAAATGTCATGTTTGAAAAAGAGAAGAAATTAAAAGCAACCTGAAACAGGTGGAGGCCACAATTTCCAGGATCCCTACGTGCCAGGAAGGCAGCAGTGAATTTTCCCATCCTTCTTGAATTGGATATAATGTAAAAAGTGTCACATCCTTACAGCAGGAATCTTGTATCACACCTGACATGCTGTAGTGTCTGTTACTTCTTCAAAAACAAAACGCTTACTGTATATCAGCTTCTTCTCTCCCTCAAAACCTTCTCCTTCTCAATACATCTCCCAGAATTCCTTGCTTATCTAGCCCTACATAAACAAATCCATCCCTTCATGATTATGTCTCTGAGCTCCAACATCAACTCCCACCTTGGGACATCATCATGTGTTACGCATCACTTGCATTTCCCACGATTGCCAGAGACGGTGAACCTACCGTCAGGACATTTCACGTGTTTAAAAATCAGATTTAACACTTCAAATATACACACACAGCTCTTAAAAACAAACATCTGACAGGTAAGACAAGCGCAGCACCTACTACTACTCCTCTCTGCACCTCTTCTTCCTCAGGGGCCCATTTACACTCGCCGTTCTCACCCTCAACTTCTCCATTTTTGTTTTGCTGTTTTTGCAAATGCCCCATTGGCACTTATTATTCCTGCACTGACGCTTTTACCCTGACTAGCAAGTGCCGCACAGCCGCTTTCTTTGGTTTGTAGCACTCAGCGATGCTGCATTCAAATCACATGGGAGAAGATGTAAATACAAGTTTACTGTTTCTGATTAAATTCCTAATCATCAGTTTGAGGGTTGAAGTGAGTTTAACAAGCTGTACAATCTGTAATTCCCATGGAACTTGAATGCAGCGTAGGCTAGGCGAAGCTCACAATTTCACCTATTCTTCACCTGCTAGCACTAAAAGCTAAAAAAACCCCTCATCAAACACAAAAACACCACCCTGCTAACTGACGTCCTTTATCTTTAAAACAAAATTAGCTTCACCAGCAGACATGTCGGCTTTAAGGCACCTCGTTAACACAGTGATCAACGCCCGAACATCAGCCATCGGTGAAATTTAAAAAAGAAAAAAAAAGCTAAATCATTACGTGATCAAAGTCTGACAGAATGACAAACTCCATAAAATAGAATAAAACAAATTGAAATTCAATGTTTGCACGTCAGCATTGCTAACAGCTCACCTGTGCTAAGCTAAAAGCTTCACAAACACACGCACAGCAGGACAAAGGATACAGGGTGTGTAAAAGTGCTCAAATGCACACACGTGCACACACAACCACACTCTCAGCCGATTCTCTACAGCATCAGGATCACCCCATGTCCCGCAGTCAATCAGGAGCCTCCGTGTTCAGGAGGTCAGAGGTCAGATCGGTGTCTCCTTGTTGTTATTGTTGTTGTTGTTTTTGAGGTCCGGTGCGCTGAACTGCCGCCTCATCCTGGGCGGAGTGTTGAAAGCCCACACCCCTGGCGGCGGCACAATGCCCAGTAGCATGTCAGCAGGAAGGGCCGGGGCCCCTGACCGCGGCAGGCTGTGGTAATGGGGGTGAGGGTGAGGTCCAGGTTGGAATGGTGCATTGTGGGGGTTGTAGTAGGGATGGTGGTGATGGTACTGATGGTGCTGGCGTTGATTATAAGGGAAGCCTCCGTCTCTGTCTCTGTCTCTGTCCCGGTCCCGGCCTCCGCCTCCTCCTCCTCTGCCTCCTCCTCCTCTCTCCCCCCCTGGCCCAGGGGAAAACCCCCTCCTCTGTCTTGGTCGCCCCTGGTGACCACCGTTGCCACCGCCGCTGAAGTGCTGGTCATTGTCGTAGCTCCCGTTGCCCTGTGGCGAGCTGTCCAGGGAGTTTCGGCGGTAACGACGTTGCTGGTTTTGGTTGTTGCCCTGGTTGTTGTAGTGGTAGCCACCCTGGTTGCCCTGGTTACGCTGCTGCCAGGCACGATGAGGGCTGGGGGTGCGCATGCGAGGAGGCTGAGCTGGGAAGGGGAGGGGCAAGAGACCAGGGAGTTGACCTTGTGGGGGAGGCGGAGGTGAGGGAGAACCTGTAGCTTCTCCTCCCCTGTTCTCCTTCTGCTCACCAGCATCAGTTCCTGCTCCTCCTCCCTCGACCAGACCCAGAGCTTGCAGGGCAGCGCTAGCGGGTCCCCAGGACAGCCGGTGGGCAGGGTTACTCTTAAAGGGGAACTTGAGCTTGCACTCCTGGGGAGGGATGAAGCGACCGGTTCCCGGGAGGTGGATCGGGACAGTGGGGGTGTTCTGACCTGGAAGAGTTGGAGGAGCAAGGGCTGGGGTCAGGGCACAGACTGTAAATAAAAGATGGACACAGTACAAGCAACCGACTCAACTAATTCCAGATCATTTGATAGGTTTATCGATGACGATCAATAGTGGGGACTTCTAATGGAACTTTCGCCATAACGGTACAGCCACACCCCCGTGCTCACCTTGGCTTTGGTTCTGTCCTCGCAGCTTCTTGGTGATGTTCTGCTGTTGCAGGTTCAGGAGCCGCTGCTGCTCCTTTTTCATCCAGCGGAGCCGTCCTCTCCTGAATGCCGGGTCCTCATCCATCAGCCGCTGAACTCTGACCTCTGGGTGGTTGGGGCAGTCGTCGTCTTCGTCCACATCCCCGTCTCTCTCTCTCTGAGGGGATTCTCCTCCCTCGCCATTCATGTCGTCGTCCTGGAAACAAGTCAAACAAAAATTAACACTGGAGGAGGCAACAATGGTTTGACGGAAGGTGCGAACTTACCTGAACAGGTATGATGCTCTCCATCTTGATCATTCTATCTCTCAGAGCTTTGATCTCCTCGTCCTTCATGTTGTTCTGCAGCTTCACCTCCTGCAGAAGTCGCGCACGTTTAGCTCTGCTCCACTAGCACCATCCTCAGGTTGTGAACAAAACAAGCTTAGCATAACTCACCTCCAAAATATCTGTCAGCTTATCGATGTGAGCCTTCAAATCGTACACGCCTCTCTTCTCTCCACCTTCCACTGTCTCTCCTCCTCCACTACCACCACTTCCTCCTCCTCCACCACCACCTCCTCCTCCTCCTTCTTCAGCGGCAGGGCTCCTCTCCTCTCCGATGCCCACAGTGTCGCAGACGTCCTGGGCCACGGCCCTCCAGCTCTCCCTCTC